TGTTCATACCCACTTCCTTTCCCCCACCTCCCCTTCTCCCATGTCCCCCCAGAATTGTTGATCCCGTTGTTTTCTCCTCCAGATTGTTTATCCCGCCTATCATATCTAGCTAGACCTGCAGAGATAATAATATGCACCCAAAAACAAGACAGAGAAAAACAAAGCAACAAAAGAAAACAAACAGAAACAATGGCAAAAAAAGAAGAGCCTGTAATCATACTATTAACATGTTTTTTACTAGCTGTTGTTGTTTGTAGGGGAGGAGAAGTTGTTTTCAATTTGTTTAGGGATAAAAGTTTCACCTGGAAATTTGTGGCTTTTTTTTTAAACTTAAAACAATTGATATAAGCTTATAGATTGAAAATCCAAACTCTGTAATACTTATGTCCGTGCATCCCCCGTCTTTTGAATAACTGTTCAATCCGACAGGTTTCACTGTGACATTTTCCCTACTTGTGACTCTGTTTAGAAAGAAAAAGAAAAGAGGGGGAAATTCCTTCTGTTTTTCATAAGGTCTAATCTTTTTCCCCATTGGCATTCACCAGATGTTGCTTTGGATCAGAAGATAAATATTAAAATCTAAGCAAGAACAAAGCGAGCTGTTTACTGGGCAGATTTTTCAGATGTTCTCTTGAGCACTTGAAAAAGACAGGAGATGCTTTGATATGCAGCTGGCTGGAACTCGCCATGGAACGGCCCTCCACAGAGCGTCGTGGGACCCAGGGCAGAGTCCACTCACCCTAACATCTCAGAAGGCTCTACTGGCCCTCTAATCTAATCCTGGGAAGGTTCAGAGGCAGAAAAGGTAGGTTTACCTGATGAAGAGGCCTGAGAATAGTAGAAAGGATGGCTCCGTCCAACGATCTGGCTCAAAGAGGCATTGAGAATACTCTTCACAAATGTAGATGTACGGCCATGGTCTGGGCAGTCTCACTGTCCCCACAGTGACAGTCAACTCACAGTGCACGTAGGTGTGAATGGAAGATTCACAGCTCCCCTGAGGCTCCAAGCCACACAGGAACGCCAAGGACACTACAAGGGAAGGACGCAGTAAGTTGAGGTCATTCCCACCAAAAAACACCATTCATAGATGAAGTTCATACGTTCTCCTTTGACCAATCAGAAAATGCAGTTAGCTTTCAATTTAAACACAACACACACACACACACACACACACATACACACGCATACACAGGACCCTGATAACACAGTGGTCAAGTGCTTGGCTGATAACTAAAAGTTTAGCTGTTCAAAACCCCTTCCAGTGTCTTTGCCAGGGAAAGACCTGATGCTCTACTGCCTTAGAGATTAGCTTAAACAAACAAACAGACAAACTTGCTGCCATCGAATCAATCCTGATTCAGAGCGACCCTACGGGACACGGTAGAACAGTCCCTGTGAGTTCCTGAGACTGTAACTCTGCATGGGAGTCCTTGTGAGCTGCTGACCTTGCAGTTAGCAGCCTACTGTGTTACCCTTCTACACCACCCAGG